TTCAAGCTAATGAAACTTTTTAGATGGTACTGCGTGAAATACTTTAGTCGGGCACTTCTAATTTTTGCCGTATCGAGCGCTGCGGTCGGAATTTTTAAAATCAATTGAAATACACCAAGTCTTATAACTTATCGAAAAGAAGAAAAGTTGATGAATCTTGTAGAGTTTTTAATATCGAATCCAGTGGTGTAGCTAGTTTTTTACTGGGAGATGTCATTATCGAAATATGACTAAAACTTATATATATTTTTTTAATGGGACACCCTGCATATTATTCTTTTGTTTTATTTGCCTCATTTTGACCTTTCTAAAAAATACACTATACTTATTTTCATAAATAAGATAAAAATTGCCGTCTTTTTTTACTTTTAAGATAAATCAACCTAAAAAATCTTATATGGGTATTTCGCCACTGCAAGAAAATCTACAAAATAAAATACTTGTTTTTTATAAACACTGCTACGGTAATCCAACGGAAACTTCTTGTCAGCAGTTAGGTTTACAGATAAACAAATTTACCTAACGGACAAAAAAATGCTTAACGTCGCGGAAAGTTTATCTCTTTCTGTCGTCGGAAGCAAAATAAAATACAAAGAATAAAGAAAAAAACTATTTAAAATATTTAAATGCAACTATTCGAGAACACTTTAGTTTTTTTTAAACAGATGCGTCTAAAAAACCGTTGACGTTCTATTAAAAGGACATTATATCAAGTTAAACTTCAAAATTAACAATTATTACCTGATAACAATTAGGTACTTATAAGGTAAAACCAAAAAGCCTCAATCTGCCTCTTTTTGTGTGATTATTTTTAATTTTTACGTATGTTATGTTTATTTATGTTATGTTCGTTAAAATCAAAGAAGCGATACGTAAAAATTAAAAATAATCATAGAGAAAGTTTGAGGCTTTTTGGTTTTACCTTATTAAGTACCTTAAAATAACTACCGTATGATTGAATAAAAACGGCGTCAGCGATGCGATGGCTATGAAATGAAGATCGCTGTCATTTGTAAATTTATATGGGAATTGTCATCGATCGTCATTTTCAAGCCAACTGGACGCCGTTTTTATTCGATTATACGGTATTTTATTTTGTAGATTTTCTTGCAGTGGCGAAATACCCATACAGGATTTTTTTACAGATACTTACTACACGCAGATTTGTTCTAGCCCTTTTGGTTTCTGAAATACAGGGCGAATTTTAAAATGTTGCATTTTTTAACCCCCTTTGTATAAAGCTTATCGAAAAGGTGAAAACTCAGAGTAATGTAGAGTTTTTTTTTACGTTGAATACAGTGATGTAGCTAGTTTTTCGCTGGGAGACTGTAATTTACGAAATTTGACTCAAACTTCTATGTTTTTATTTAAATGGGACACCCTGCATATTATTCTTTTGATTTATTTCTCTTATTTTGACGCTTCTATAAATATAAAATACTTAGTTTCATAAATAAGGTAAAAAATGCCGCATTTCACTTTTTAACATAAATCAACCTAGTTTAAACGAGTAATATTATTTTATTTAATTTTTGCGCAACTTTTTAAAATCAAAAATTATAGTCTGTTTCAAAATGCCTGATAGCACAGCGAGAAGCGTTTTGGGACCATATAAAACATCATAAACCATAGGCGCTACAACTTTTACAAATCTCATCAACCGACTTTTTATTAACCAATCTATAGGTCAAACCTATAGGCTTGGTCATAGGCTTGGTGCATTCTCCGCCGCGCCGGTGCGTAACCACCGTAATAACAAGGCCGGACAGCTGTGACGTAAAAGTCTCGTGACGTCACCAACTGGAGACTCAACTCTATTTAGCAGCATTGATAATTACCCGATAAAAGTTCAAATTGTGGATCTTTTTTCACTCGCCAGATATATTTCGAAGTTCTAAAATGTCTTTTACGAGTTTTTAAAAATATTATAGTATATAAAAATAGTTTTAATAGAATACGGAAAAAATCATACCAGTCAATAAATGTTTATCTCTCACTTTTTATCAATCAAATGTAATAAAGGAATATTTTAAGTTCACAATAGTGTACAATATGAGAAAAAAACAATAAAAAATAGATATTTTTTATAGTATATATTATGTATTTTATCGATATTTCACGCCCCCTGTTCCGGGGCGGTGCCTGTCGTAACGCGTAGCGGAGTGGTGTTGTCGCAGTTGACAGTCATCGATTTATCGGTAGGTGTGCGGACGTGGTAATTATAATCGACAATAGGAGGGGTGAAAAAAGTTATAAATCTGTAAAAAGAGGTGTTTAAACTATAAAGTGATTATAAGTGTGTGCAATTATACAATTTAAAAGGTATAATAGTATAATGCCTTATAATGTCTAAATAATAAGATGTGAATATTATATTTAAAGCTATATTTCTTCTGTTTTCTCAAATATATTTATATGTATTTTCTAAAGCTTTTACTTATCTTTTACCTCACCTCAAAGCTTTGATATTTGAAAGTTACATAAACTACACCCTCCACATCGATTAACTACATGTAATGTTGTTTATGTAGTTTTTAAGAGTAACATGTAGTTTTCCGAACCCTGATAGTAATACTGATCAAATTATTAGTCATGCTTGTTATTTACTAAATTCTTTAAAATACGATGAAAATAATAAAAAATTTCTAACTTTGTTGTTCAATATTAAAGTTATTAACTTGAGTTGAGGAACAGGTTGAGCTTGAAGTAATAAAATATTGTTTTAATATAATAATAATAGCTCCCGTATATAGCGTTTGACGCCTTGGGAGTAGCAAGGTACAGCTTGCCATATTAGAGCCGTTCGGTATACGAGGAAGGTAATGTGGCTAGCACTACGCTTCAACCGCCTATTATTACCTCAGTACTATACCGCCTATTAATCCCAAGTACTCATTTAAGGCTGAGTCGACCTAGGTACCCAATCTATTTTTATTTTAATATAAAATGTCGGCTGATGAAATGCCGGGTGTGGGATTCGAACCCACTACCTTGAGATTGGTAGACGAGAGCCTATACCTCTACGCCACCGGGCACCTAATAAAATATTAGGGCACATATTAAAATATTGTTTTAATGAGTAAAATATGAGGTATGTTTTACTAGAGAACTTGCAAACTGATCCTCTTGAAAGTAGGTTTGGAAAATATAGACAGTTAGCCGGGAGTCAGTACAGTATGTGTTCGACATTTATATGAAGGCGAAAAGAAACTTAAGATTCAGTCATTAATGTCCCTAATAATAATTTAACATTTTCAGACAACACTGATATTGAACAAAATTCACTTATAAAAAACCTTACTAAAGGCAGTTTTGGGTTTCCAAAAGATGAAATAACTAATATAGTTTTATTTGAATAAATAATTTTTAACAAAGTCTTGCAAAGCCATGAGGAGTTTCTCAAAATTCACAATAAAAAGTATTTTTATCAAAAATATCTTTGGATTACATTAAAAGTAATACAACATTATTAAAATTTCCGCAATGTACTATTTATAATGCTAAGTTATTGTAAAAATTGTCATAAATTCTATTAGAAATACACGTCTGAAAAATTACTGTTGTTAAAAAATAATGATAGACTTGGAAAAGGAAATAAAAGAAACTTAGACACACTTCCAGCATAAATAAATACAATGACGATGGATAATGTGAAATGGGATATCAATCGGATGTTTTTCAAATTTTATGTTTAATTATTATTTATTAAAAATTCGGTGCAATTAAAGTTTATATCCATTATATACGTATAAAGTATATCAAATGCAATCAAAGTTTAGGCATCCAGTTGATGACGTCACGAATAAGCTGTACGGCCTTGTTATTACGGTGGTTACGGCCGGTGCTGCCACCATGGGAGAATATCGTAAAAAACTAGCATATACAAATACACGGGTTTAAATAGGGAGTATAAGAAAAATTTATTATTTAATTATTCTAAAAATAAAAAAGTAAATATTTCGATATCTTCAGAAGGTCTGTCTAACTTGTATTATATAGTTTATTATTCCGGTTAAAAAAACTTTTTAGATGAGTTCAACTACGGTAGCGAGCATAGTTTTAATCACCGGTTTTGCTAGTGAGGCATAATTGGGGCTATTTCGGCTATAACGAAATTTTTAAAGGTACATAACTATAATTTTAGAAGATGTTCATAAAACATTTAATCAGTAGTTGATTAAAAAAAGTATACCATTAAAATTGAAAATTATATTTTATTCTCTCATAGTATATGTCATTTAATTTTTTGATTATGTAACGAGCACTTTTGTTCACTCTCTTGTTTCAATTGTCACAACACAACACACAACGCCTAGTTTGAATTCTCTTTCACTTATTTTTTACTACCCGAAACAGCGTTACATCACACCAACCTCGTACCTGAGTGTTTTATAGTTTCAATAACTGCACTAGCAAAAAACCAAAATACTTAAATATTATGACAAAACAACGATTTCAATAGTATTATCTTAATGCGATCAACATTCCGTTGAATGAATTCAACATTTTCCGTTAAAGCGCCGCGGTCGGAATTTGTTGAAATCAACTGAAATGCACCGAGCCTATACCTATAATATCGGACTGTACAAGGTGGGTCAAATTTGGACACTTTTAAAGGGAAACACCTTTTTCTATAAGAGATAAACGAAAACTAATATCGGTGTCTGGGACTCAATTTTTATCAAAAACACGATGGTAAAAACCTAAGGTAAAAACCACACATCGATATCTGTTACCGTTTCGGAGTTACGGAGTGTTTAAGCGCTGTAACTTGTTTGCTATAGAAAATCTTATATTTTTATGAAAACATTTGCAACGCATCTTTTTAAATAGAATTTAAAGTTCTAAACCTGAGTTCTAGAAACACAGGCTCGATTTTTAAAATTCAAATTTGAATATTCTACGCGGCTGTATTAAGAGTCATATCACAAATAAAATCTTGAGATTTTTTCTAATTTTTCCAAATTATTTTCTCTACATTTCTTGTTTATTATTTTGAGGTTCTGTTGAACCACCCAGAACTGAAGGCATCTTACGCCTATATTCTATGGAGTACTGCCCCTATGCCCAAAGACCTAGATTAGTACTGAAGGCTAAAGGAATCCCTTTTGAGACTGTTAATATTAATCTAACAGAAAAACCCGAATGGTACTTCAAAATTCATCCCGAGGGTGAGTATTTTATGTTTTTTTTTCTTTAAAATTTCTTTAAAATGACAAATCTTAAAGGTGAGGTCGTCCTGGTTAATGAAGTGAAAAATATTTAATTTTATTAATTTCAAAGATTTTAAAGGTTGAGACAGGACCGTATTTCACATTTTTAAATGCTGTTAATAATGTACATACAGGGTGTCAAAAACATAGTGTGTCCAGCTTCGGTGGGTACTGTAATACAGATGCTACAGATAAAAATAATACAAAAAGTTCCTGTGAACATAATATGTCCCTTGTGAACATAGATAAAACCGCGGTAGTGCCATTCACCAGAAAGCGAAGTTTGAAAAACTTGAAAAGACTAGACGGAAAGGAAATACTGCCATCACAGGAAGTGAAATATCTGGGAATAACCCTGGATAGTAAACTTCTCTGGAACAGGCATATTAAGAACATTACCAGCAAAGCCACAACGGCTCTCATGATATGCAGAAGACTGGCGGGAAATAGGTGGGGCTGTGCCCCTAACATTTTGCGCTGGATGTATACATATCATACATGATACTAAGACCCAGTATTACTTATGGAGCAGTTGCTTGGTATACAAAACTAGAGCAACGTACTGCAAGGCAAAACCTGTACAAAGTACAGAGACTGGCATGTATCTGCATCACAGGTGCCATGAGAACATGTCCAACAGCAGCAATGGAGGTCATTCTAGACCTAACACCACTGCACATTGTCGTCGGTAGTTATGCCAATGCGACAATGATTAGAATGGTCATTGACGGAAACAGTACTGGGAGAATTTTTTGACGCAGGGGCTTGGAACAACCTCAAAAAGAAAATTCCACTTCTCCAACTCCCAGTGGATGACATACCAAGAATTTACAACTTTGAGAAACACCTCACTGTAGTATTGAGTAATAAAAAGGATTGGAGGGAAGAAACGCCTTACTCAGCATATAAAAGACCATACCATAACGTGGTACACTGATGCTTCCAAAACCAAAGCAGGGACAGGGATAGGGGTATTTGGGTCGAAAACTAAATACTCCGAATCAATGGGCACCTACCCCAGTATCCTTCAGGCAGAAATTTACGCTATCGAAAGATGCATACTGCTTAGATAGGAACTATCGAAAACAGAAAATTGCCATCCTATCCGATAGTCAAGCAGCACTTAACGCGATCAACTCCATAAATTCAAAGTTGGTCAAAAAATGCCTAGAGAAGCTCAACAAATTAGGCAAAGAAAATAAAGTCCTCCTACTCTGGGTGCCTGCTCACCAAGGGATAGAAGGCAATGAAAAAGCAAATGATCTAGCTAGGAAAGGAGCGAACACTCCACTAACTGGACCAGAACCGTTCTGTTTTCCAAACGGGAACCAACTGAAAGCGGAACTGAAGAATCTGGAAGACTCCATCCGTAACTTGGAATGGGTGTCCTCCAACGATCTAAGACACTCGAAAAAGTTCCTCAGAACTTACGGCCGAGAAAAATCAAAGGTTTTCCTTGATTTAAGTAAAAACAATCTTCGGATTGTCACGGGGTTTCTAACAGGACACTGTCTCCTCAACGAACACCTCAGTAGGCTGAAGCTGAGAAACAACGACGAATGCAGATTCCGTGGGAAAAATGGGGAAACACCAGAACACCTTATCAACTTTGGTACGGCTGATGTCGAGGATGGAAAGCTGGCCTCTGTGGAGCCGTCTCAGATACTGGCTTTTGTTAAAGCCCTGAGACTGTATGATGAGTTATATCTGGGTTATCTTTCTTGTAAATTTAATCTGTTAGCTATGTTGCCATATTATTAATAAATTATGGTTTTTAACTGAAAAATAAAAAAAATCCAAAAAATTCCAAATTTTCAAAAAAAAATTTCGCGAAAAAACAACTTTTCCTTTGAAAATAGATTGGTGTGTTTGGAAACGTCCTTTTTTAATCTTTCTATAATTAGTGTTATTTTTTGACAAGTTTTATGTCAATTTTTAACAAATGACGTCTAGAGATTGACCTCGCCAAAATTATCATCGATTGTCAATCCCCAGCCATCTTTGACGCCGTTTTTTTTCGATCATACAGTATGTTAAAAATTGAAAATCTTTCTTCTCAATTATAGGAAAAGTACCTGCCCTATTGGACAATGGTAAAATTACCATCGAAAGTTTGGATATATCCGACTACCTAGACGAAAAATATCCGCAAAATCCATTATATTCGTCCGATCCCAAGATAAAACAACATGAAAAGGAACTTATCCAGAAAATCGCTCCTGTCGTATCAGGATTCTACAGTTTTCTCCTAAACAATCAAGAGCACGCTACTGAAGAACAAATTAGTGAACTTTTGGCGCCTCTGCAACCGTTTGAAGAGGAATTAAGTAAAAAAGGTGGTAAATTCTTCGGAGGAGACAAACCTAACATGGTAGGTATTTAAAATACATAAATACGGAATTTTAAATATTGTTTAATGTATTTAACAGAGCTCTTTAGTGTATAGACCAATAACACCCCAGAGCGAATTGTTATCATACCTCCAAACAGTGCCGTGCACATATTTTTCTTAACTTGGCTGCTTGAAGAGATATATGTATTTTTGATAAATGTTTTGACTACGCCTATGGCGTATGCTGCTTATTTAAGTGGTATCATACTAATTAATTACAAAAAAAAAGTATTAAAATATTAGCAAAAGGTACAAAACTAGTATCGACGTATAGCACATATCAAATAGGTATGTACATATGAGAAAAATAATTATCAAATTCAATAAGAAAACGCTAAAAAGGTGGAGTGGACTGTTTATTTACCTATGATATGTAACTCATGGTTCTTTCTTATCGTTACGGATTTTACACTTGAAAGCGGAACAAATAGCCATTGTAATAAAGTTTGTACAAATATTCACTACACACAACAAACTATTAAAAATCGCTAAAATTGTCGCTGGTGACACATCCGTTCCTCCAAAAAAATGGCGTCTAACAACACAAATTCTGCTTCAGCCCTTAAGCTGTGTCCACATCGCTCACGAGCAGGCCGAACGAACACGTGAAACACGAAAAACAGTCGGAGCGAGATGTTCACGGCGCTCCAGTGGCGCTCCACGTGCTTGCGATCTCATAAAATGCCTGTTTCGACTGTTCGGCCTTTGGTTCGGCTCTGTCGCGGTACATCAAAGAGACGCTTCGGAGCCATGCGAAATTAATTCATAGGATTCGGTATTTACTGCAGTATGATGATACTACCAAAGTTTAAAGAATATAGAATATATTTTATATTCTTTAAACTGTGATACTACCATGATTTTTCTTATTTTATTTTGTTCAGAATTAGAAATATTTGTGTTTTGTTCTTGGATTAATAATATTAAATATACCTTTAATAAAGTATAACTCTATATTTATATTGCCTACTTATCTTAATCTGATCTTTGAGAACTTTATTTATATTTTGGCATACGTCTGGTATTATTTTTGAAATGCTTTGCTTGGAAACTTTGAATAAATAATCCAAACTGGTATGTGAGTCTCGATGTGCAAAGAATCTTAATGTTATGGCCAATCTTTATTTAACTCTTTCTTTAACCGGAATACACTTCCTAAAAGTTGTATTTAACTAAGTTAATAAGTCTTTCAAAATCAGTAGCGGACATGCGATAAAAAATATTAAAAAACATTCTGTCTGTTTGTAAATCACGTAGACGTTTACTTTCACTGTGCTGGGATCTACTTTTGAAATTATTAGACATCCAACACCGCCTTTTTTTCTCTTTGTCTCCTTCGTTTTGAAGTAATGATCGCTCTAGCAGCCGCTATTAAAAATACTTCGGTATCATCCATGTTCAAACAGCAAGAACGCAAGCGCTACATTACAATGTGGACGCCGTTACTTGCGAGCCAAACCAAACAGGAAGCGCAAGCAACGCAAGCACAATCAGAAGCAAGAGCGCGAGCAGGATCACGAGCAATGTGGGCGCACCTTTAGTCATTGAACATTGAATCAATGACTGAAGAATACAATGACACGTAACGCCCATATACGGGCTGCAGCAGAATTTGTGACACCATTTTGTTGGTGGCAACGAATGAGTCATCAGCTGGTCATCAGCGACAATTTTAGCGATTTTTAATAGTTTGTGTATAGTAAACTTTGTATAAACTTTATTACAATGGCGATTAGTTGTTCAGCTTTCAAATGTAAAAGCCGCAGCGATAAGAAAGAGCCAGGTGTTACGTTTCATAGGTAAATAAACAGTCCGCTCCACCATTTTAGCGTTTTCTTATTGAATTCGATAATTATTTTTCTGATATATGTAATTGATGTGTGCTATACGTCAATACTAATTTTGTACCTTTTGTTAACATTTTAATACGTTTTTTTCGTAATTAATTAGTATATGATACCACCATATACACCATCATAGGCGTAGTCAAAACATTTATCAAAAAATATAAATATCTCTTGAAACAGCTAAGTTAAGAAAAATATGTGCCACGGCACTGTTTGGTGGCATGGTAACAATTTGCTCTCGGGTGTTATTTGTCCTTGGATTCTTTAATCATTGCATTAATTATTTTAATTAGGTACATGTATTAATAATAAAACATTTTAGGTCGATTATATGTTTTGGCCATGGGCTGAAAGATCTGAAGCCACTGTACGGAAATCCAAAGGACAAAACCTACTTACAGACGACAAAATTCCTAATTTACAGAAGTGGAAAAAGGCGATGAAAGAGGATCGAGCTGTTTCGGAAATTTACCACAGCCCCGAAGAGCACTGGAAAGTTTTCGAATACCGCATTTATAAAACTCCACTGGATTATGATACTTTATAAAATTGTTACGGTCGTATTTATTTAATAAATATTTATTAATTTATTTAGTTTAACTTCTCAAAAATAACTAGGATACATTAATTTGATGTTTCAAGAATTAAATCATTATTATAACTTATCTGTTTTAAAACCTCATATTTTTTCATTAATGTTATTAAAGCAAAATAAATAATTTTTAACACAAATTCTAATTATAGTGCGTTTAGACTTGAGCACGCACGAGCTGAGCGTGCGCGTATGGCATTCGTTCACGCTCTCGGCTCCGTTCAAATTAAAAACTTATTTTTCGACGAATGAAGTGATCCATTTGTGCGCGCACAGCAGAGTTGTGTTGGCGAAAATAATGGACGACCAAGAAATAGTCGAGGCTACAGTCATTGTTGTGCACAGCTTAATTATTAAAAAGGAGAAAAATCGAAAACATCGTCGCTGGTGGCAAACCCAAATTTTTAGAAATCGATATAATTTACTAGGTGCCCGGTGGCGTAGAGGTACAGACTCTCGTCTACCAATCTCAAGGTAGTGAGTTCGAATCCCACACCCGGCATTGCAGCAGCCGACTATTTTTATTAAAATAAAAATAGTTTGGGTACCTAGGTCGACTCAGCCTTAAATGAGTACTTGGGATTCACATTCCTGAGGTAATAATAGGCGGTTGAAGCGTAGTGCTAGCCGCATTACCTTTCTTGTATACCGAACGGCTCTAGTATAGCAAGCTGTACCTTGCTACTCCCAAGGCGTTAAACGCTATATACGGGAGCTATTATTATTATTATGACATAATTTATTGCAACAACTTAGTGTCTGAGGAGGGCTATGATCAGTTCAAAAACTTTACAAGAATGACCAGGCCTGACTTTGTATATTTACAAAATTTAATAACACCAAAAATTACGAACAAAAGATACAAATTTTGGAATAGCAATTTCATTAATATCGACATATTCAATATTAATTTTATTTACAAGGTCTTGCCATGCGTTTTTTTTTGTTTTTTAATAATACAAAGAATATTTAAACATCCCATAATATAGGCAACTTTTCATATTCTTCAATTAATAATAACGAAGATTCATTGATCCACTCCATAATTTTAATAAAGAACACGAAAAAAAAAATCACACACGCACGCACGAACGCAGACCAGTGCCTTCTATTAAAAGATCAGCCTGCGGGCGAGATTTATGACGTCACGCTAGTTAGATATAACGGATTAATAAATATGTTGTAGAATACATGGAAAACATAATTATTCCTCAGATTTTTGGTTTGTATTTTAAAAATGATATAGTTTAAATGAAATATACATAATATACAGTTAATAACTACAACATATATACCTATTTATAGTAATAAATACTTTGGCAAATAAACTATGAACCATACAAATGCAGCAAATGTTTTACAACAATGTACAAATAATGTATAGGTACATAAGATAATGGGTAAAATGTAAATATATTTTAAATTTTGGGGTTTGAAAATCGATCTAATTTAACAAAAAACATTTAATATCTACTAATAGTGATGTATTATTATTTGCATTCACAAAATTTATATGTATATTTTGCAAGTATCAATGTTCGAAAAATTATATTTACAAATAATACAATATTATCTAAAAAAGGCGTCAGCGATGGCTATGAACTGAAGATCGCTGGCATTTTATATGTTAAATTATTCTAAAATTTTTTTGATTTTCTTGGGATTTTTAGGTTCGGGAAAAACGCTGATTAAGTTTTCATTTGGGTTTTCATTTTTTTATTTGGTTTAAAAAAACGTTTCGGCTAACTATAGCCTTCACAGTGTTGTGTCATATGAGAAAAATAGTGTCGAATATAATCCAAAAATTACATATACAATATAATTCACACCTCATAATGTTTACTGCAATTAATAAACTAATATAAACTTATCAAAAGATGACCACATATTTTTTAAAATTATTATTCTTAACACTAAAATTATCTACATGACTATGGAGTACGCAGTAAACATTATGTGCGTGGTGTGAATATTTTATATGCAATTTTTTGGATTATATTCGACACTATTTTTTCATATGACACAACACTGATGGAGGCTATAATGTTAGCCGAACCGTTTTTTTTAAACCAAATAAAATAATGAAAAATCAATCAACGTTTTCCCGAACCTAAATTCCAAGAAAATCAAAAAATTAGAATATTTAGAATCAAGGTTCAAGAATATCAAATTTTCCAAGATTGTAAAATTCTAGTTAATTATTTTATGTGTACAGTTATTTAGGGAAGGTCATTGATGTTCATTTCCAAGCCAACTAGACGCCGTTTTTTTCGATCATACGGTATAATTCTTACGTAAAATGTAAATAACATTAGACCAATTAAAACAAAGAAATATGAATTTCTTAGTATTTTTAGTAACACCTTTATTCTTAAAACTTAATTTTGTATTATGCAAATATACCAATTTTATTGTTATTTTATTCATATTGTATTCAGCCATCACTTAAATATTTGATATTAATTTGGTATTATAAATAATAAATACTATTCATTAAAAATTACTGAACAAATATATGTTATGCTTAACATACATTATATATTATCAAACAAAAACACATTCTTCTTTTAAACTGTATCAGTCTTGTCTTTACAAAAATCTTTTTAAAATTTGAACTCAAAATAATAATCTTTTTCATGATCTCTAATACACATATTCTTTATTTTCCCTAGTTCATAATACCTACTTACGTGTTTGAATCTATCGAAGCTGAACCAGCAACACTTGGAGTGGAGATTCCACAATATGAATAAAATAAACATAATTGTCCAGTTTTCATTAATACCATCATGGGAGAATATTATTTTTAAATTTATTAAAGATATTTTCAATAAAATTCTCTTGATTTATAACTTCATTACCCACTTTTCTTGCTCTTCCGGACACTTTAGGCTGCCTAGTATAATAACTATCCTTTCCACCAGGAACACAACAAAGATGAGGCATAGCACCAATAACACACTCCACTTAAGCTTTATTGATGAATTGTTAGAGTCTTAAAAACACACACAAAAATCACGATAAGTAAAAAATGTATGGGCACTTTTAGGTTAAATCACTTGCACAACGTGTAATTTTTAAAATTTCTATTTTTTATGCGAAACCGAGAGTGACCATATATCTGGTAGTAGTTTATGTCACTTCAACACCAAAATAATTAGTTTTTTGCACTACAATAATAAATAATACCAAAAATCAAAGAGTTAAAACCAAAAATCAACAGACAAAATATGAAACGGAATCTAACCCAATATCTAAGTATGTACAGCTGATGAAAAACACCACTGCATCCATTACATTTTAAAAACTTTTGATTCACTATAAAATTATCCGAGCAACGGACACATACGTGCACGTCGTCCGCCATCGCTCGTCCGCCCATACATAAAATCCCTTTGAGCACGGACCAAAAACCGACACCAGACGGCTCACGTTCGCGGCTGCTTGAAATCACAGACAGATTCAGAGTGAGCGTGGGCGCACAGCCGTTTACACTTGAGCATTCGCGGAGGATCAGTGCGTGCGTGCTCAAGTCTAAACGCACCAAAATGCATCCGAATGCACCAAAGTAGCAGATTTATAAAACTGCTCGTCGCTGGAAAATTGTAAAATTTTAAAATAATTTAAATATGACCCTGTGCAAAAACCTTGAATATTTAACCACTCCTAACCACATACACCAGTGTTGCCAGAATTGAAGGATTTCCTTCAATGTGAAGGATTTTATAGTCAAATTTCGTCGGTTGAAGGGTTGCAAGATTTTTATCCAAAAAGAAGACAATATGAAGGTTTCCGGCAGTTTTGTACAGTAAAAATTGTTAAAATATGTAGTACGAGTATTTATTGTTTTCCTACATTTATTTTTTCACTTTAACGGTGTTTAATTAAGAATGCCTCAGTTTCCAGTAATGTTGCTGTTAGAAAGTCTGCAATTCGAACGATTTTAACATTTAACAAAAAACGATTAGATACATTTTTATCTTTCAACACGTCTTATTAGGTACATGGATATAATAACTAAACCAAAGTTCTTGATGCTGAAAAGCAATAAATAGGTAAACGGAAAACATTACAGAGAAACATATTTAATAAGTCAGCTGATCATTAAGCAATGAGTTTTTTTAAACATACCAGAGACAATTAATGTACCTATTATGTATTTTGTATTAATTAACTGTAATTGTCTCTGAATATGGTTTACAATTCTGCTGTCAAATATCTATCACAGCAGTTTTGATCCTGTTATTTTCTTAATAAAAAGTTTATTTAAATACTTTGCAGTCCAAAAATTACCAGAAATAAGTTCTTAAAAATTTCCTCCTAATTATAAAATAGGTAACGTACACGAAACTTGGTGATTTTTTTCTGGAATTGTGAAATTGAAGGAAAACGAAGGTTTTTTAAGGCTCCGTTGAAGAAATTCGTCGAAAATTTCTGGCAACACTGCACACACACTCCAAGAATGACAATCACAAATGAATTTGTATTTGTTTACAGAATATAAAACCGCTTTTTATATTAGATCGATATCAAAGTGAAATTTCTTACTTTAATTAATATATTTTACATTCCAGTCTATCATAAGTACTTCCCGAAAATGTCCGCAAATCACTTGGCTAAAGGTAATTTATAATTTATTTCAATACTTCCACTCTTCTATTCTTTATTAATTTTTTTCAAATAGATTAATTTAAATAAATCTTCTGTAGGTTCTGTTGAACCCCCAAGAAAAGAAGGGCTTCTGCGATTATATTCCATGCAGTTTTGCCCTTACGCGCATAGAGCTCGGCTTGTCTTAAAGGCTAAAGACATCCCTCATGATATAGTTAATGTTAATCTTATGAACAAGCCAGAATGGTACTTCAAAATCCACCCAGAAGGTGAGTAAACCATGTGTAAAGCTTGATAACTACAGATAATAGAGGTTATATGCTTCTGCATTTCTGTAAAAAAAATAGTCACATAAATTCTTATCTTTCTCATTACTAAGCAAATTTTCTAATTAATAAATAATTCTTGCAAGTCATTTGCTTAAATATTTATGCTAAATAATCTTTAATTCATTGAAATATAGGCAAAGTACCTGCTTTACTTGACGGAGACAAAGTTGTAGTCGAAAGTCTGGATATTTGCGATTATCTAGATGAAAAATACGCCCAAAACCCACTGTATCCAGCTGAACCAGCTGCTAAACAGAGGGACAAAGAAGTTATTCAAAAAATAGGCCCAGCCACAGGAGTTTTCTCGAAAACTATCTTCGGAAATGAGGAAAAATCTCCAGAAGAGTGGTTAAAAGAGCTTTTAGATGTTTTACAGCCTCTAGAGGATGAACTAACAGTCAGGGGAACTAAATTCTTCGGCGGAGATAAGCCTGGAATGGTAAGTTTTATTTTAAAATGACTGTAAGCATTATAAAAAGGAATTTTAGGTTGATTACATGCTGTGGCCTTGGGCTGAAAGGGCTGGAACTATTGCGATCAAACTAGGAAAGAAGCTTCCCATTGAAGATAACCAGATTCCTAATTTGCGTGCGTGGAGGAAGGCTTTAAAAGTAGATCCAGTTGCTTCCGAGCTGTATCACGGTCCTGAAATTTTTTGGAAAGTGGCTCAGTTCAAACTGAAAAACGCCGAGCCAAACTATGATAGTATTTTATAAATTAACTTTTCAGCTTTAATACTCATTTCTCTTTATGTTTTAATCAAAAAATGTCTTATTTAATACAAGGAAAAATTATATGTGTCGCTTTTTTATGACAATAACGTTAAATTACTTAATAGTATTAGAAATAATATATTATCTGCTTTGTTTCTGTTGTATTGCAAATAAAATCGTTTCTAAAATTGTAATTTGTTTTATTATCATAAAATTTACGCTGTAATAAAAGTATTTAAAACTTAATACAAGGAAAAATGGAATTGTACAAGAGAAAAATACAGCTATATAAATTGTTGATTAATAAATAGATTGCAGCAGTAAAAAACTGTATTACCTCCTTTGTTTTTCTGTTATCGCAAATAGAATTGGTTCAAAATTGGCATTTAATCTTGTTTCATCACAAAAATTCTCTAATAACACTCTTTCTATAAAATATGTTGAAAATCTAAATACTGCTAAATATTTTATCTGAAAAGCTTTCACGTTCCCGCCAAACAATCGTTCTGAGCATGCGCGTTGGTCGGGAATGTGACAGCGCCGCCATTTTTCGATCACTTTTATTTGATTCATGGCCGGGTAAACAACGTTATTTCATTTTTTCGTCAAGTGCATCCCCGTAGGCGCAATGGGTTACTAGTGTAAACACGTTTCGCACACGCAAGTGTGCCAGTCCCTTATAAAATATGCAGTAAGTACCATTCTTACCTTTTTATACGAATTTTTAGGTGTACTCCAATACAGGGCTTGCGTCAGCATTTTCCAAGAAAAGATCGAATTTTACAACTCGTTACGTCACAGCCAAAATACTAGGATTGTGGTGAATAACTGGACATACCAATATAAATATTCGTGTGCGATGTCAATATTTACATGCTTTTTAATCAACAAAAATTACAATCTGTTTGGGAATGTCAGAGGCTTGACATTTTTTGACAGTGGGGTGAAGGGGAATTACAGTTAAAAAAGGCATTCTCCAAGCCTGTAATTATACTTAATTTGGCATCTAGTTGACCATTCTTTGTATGAAAGTAGCTTGAACAAGTTTTAAAAGCCCTTTTTTATTATTGTCTTAAAAGCATAATGATTTTTTTACAATATATCGGGCACCATATGGCTATTTATAATAATTATAGTCAGATACCAGAGAAATAGTTATCTTTGAAATTCAAAAACTTATCTGTAAATAATAGGAAATTGAGTATTTTTATGTTTATAACTAAAGTATTTCATATATTTCTTACTAACGTCATATAAGTATTTATGTTAATTTGAATTGAAAATTTTTGTGTAATTTTGTAATTATATTGTAAAAATATATGGAGGAGTATACAAAAAACTGTACTTGACCTGTGTCACATGAGTTTATTAGACATATTCTTTTTAACAATATAAAATTTTATTTTTTCCATTTGACATTTGAACTGGGTATTAAGAAATCATCTTTAGATATATTATTGCTCAAAATTTATCATTGTTTTGTGTGGCCAGACACCAAAGTCTAAATTAATGGTTCTAGTCTGTGAAAATAAGTGTTATATTTGAAAAAGGATGGGATGAATACGCTATTAAATTATGATCACGCGAGCTCGCACGTTTTTAGAAATACAACGTTGCCAGTTCATGTTCGTTTGATGTAAATTTATTAAAAAAATCTAATTTCTTTACTCTTAATTGGTCTAAACCCATTGGTTTTTAGACCCATATAAAGTATTGTAATTTAATTATAGTTTATAGTATACTTTTGAATAGTCAGCTTCTAAAAACTGTACTATAATTTAAAAAAAATATATGTTTAGTAAAAGTGGCAACATTTTGGAAAATGTTATTGGGCAATTTTAATCAGTTTTTACCAGAAAAAATTCTGTCTATTAAGCTGCAAAAACGTGTTATTTGTTCAGTGCTCATTTGTCCACTGATTATTGTAAATATGACTAGTAATCCTATAGGTTTTATGTTTAGTAGGTTTAGGTGTTTAAGGACTGGTATTTAAAATAAGTTTTTTCTTAATTTTAGGGCCATCATGGCGCTTCTTTTACTCGCCGTATCCCTTTCGGCACAATCACTAAACTTAAATAGTCTTTCCTTTGCTGATTTTGACCAAGGCAACCGTAGAGCCCACCATGAAGTCTACGTTGCCATGGAAGGAAGAGCCAGTGTCCCCTCTTTCATGTGAGGTATGTATTATCCACAATCTTTTTTTCCAAACATGTATTTCATTAGTTATCAATGCAAGATCAATTTTGTAGATTTCAATTACCAATGACTGCTTAAGGTATGCAACTAACATTACGTCAAGTCCTAAAATTTTTTCCTGTATCTTTATGTTTAATTTCAAGCCTAAGACAGCAATATCCAATATGATAAATAAAAACGGAGTCAGCGATGGCAATGAAATGAATATCACTGTCATTTTATATGGGGAATGTCATTGATCTTCATTTTTAAGCCAACTGGACGCCTTTTTTTTCGATCATGCGGTAGTATTTTTTGTAAAAGATTTATTGACAAAAGGCAAATATTTTACAAAAAGGTTCAATATACATAATATGATAAACCTTGGTGCCAAGATCCTTTTCTAAATTTTATTAAAAAATATTGAGAATATTTAGCTTTACCCTTATTCCAACAAGCCTTTCAATCGAAAAGAAAAACGTCCTCCAGTTGGCTTGAAAATGACAGTAGATGACATTCCCCATATAGTTTTATATATAATATGACAGCAAATTTAATTTCCAAGCCATCTCTAACGCCATTTTTTAGATTGTATCATTATATTTTATTGTTTTTATTGAATTCTTAAATTAATAAAACAAGAGCACATAAAATGTTTAGGTTGTTATAATTTATTGCTTACTGAACAGATATTGTGAGGATGTATTGTTGGTTGAATATACTGCGACGTCACGTTGATTTACTCTAGTGTAACGTTAAATGCAGATTTCTTTATCGATATAACAGCGATAATAATTTTGTTGGTACCTCCATCTACTATCTACATGACGTACTAGCAAATAAAATGTGATACTGTGTGTAACTGATTTACATTTGAAATTAAGTTATAATAATAATAGTGTCGTGATCCTGGATTGGACCACCGTCGTCACCAATCTTGTAGTCGCTGCCACCAAATGTTGTAGTTCTCTATTTGACTCGTATCACCACTTGTTGGGAATGTTATTCTTTATTTTTTTTATAATTAAATTCTTACTAAGTTGTTATTACTTTTTATTTTTAAACTTTTAATACGTCGACTTGACGAGTACGTCACGGCAAATCGCTCCGCCCACTCATTTTATTGGCTACTTGCAAATTTGTTGAATTTTTATTGATGGGACGCGTCGTCTAATTTTTTACGAAAAACATCGAGAGAATATCGTTTCCCCTCTCACGGATACACCGTAGCTAAAGAACGGACAGACGTACTGTACGGGAGGTGGCGACACTTTTTATTATCCCATTTCATAAAACTCGATTTATCTTTTATTTTGTAATATTAATACCGCTGATCAAGAAAATGAACTCCTGCCACCTCTTTAGCGGGACAACGATTGACGGCGGTATGCAAAACATGTTGAAAAAAAGTCTAAATGTATAAAATAATAAAAGATGAAACTTTCTCAATGTTTTAATAACGCTTAAATAAGTCATGAAACGCCTTCCTGCCACTTTTTCGGTAGACCTATACACTCCTGCCATAATTTTATTTATGTGAAAAAAATTTATCCATTGATATAAATCATAAAAGTTGATTTTTTTTAACATTTCATTAATTTTTACGACAACTAAAAAACATATCCTGCCAATCATTTGATGGGACCTGGCTTCGGCAGGAGCTAATAAAATGATAGAGTCTTGACATAATTACAGAACTGAATTTGTTTCAACATGATTGATTTTTTTTATATATACACCAAAAATATACAATGTCAAAAAATTTATAGACACGTATCTTCGTCGATCTATAGTTTCTATAAAGTGGATAAATCGTCGATGTTAGAATTCTCGCTATCGCTGGAATCGTTGTCAAGTTGAATGCGCTCACGCTCCATTGCATCATCGTCATCGTGTTCATCAGTTACCATATCAGGACCTGTAAAACGATCATGAATCGGTTCGAAATTAGTGACATTATTTTATCTATTATTAATTATTACTTACAGAAAAAATTATGACCTGTGAACCTGTGTCATCGGTTGCAGCAATTTCATTGATAATTATATCGCTGATTGAAGTTGGTAACAGATCACCCTCAGTCCATAACAACTCCAGCTTATTTTCTATTTCTTTCCATCCATAATCTGTAGGAGATAGCAACGTTGGGTGTGGGAAGTGTGCATTACACCACACACTGGAAATATAAATTGCCCTCAAAATTTGTTGTTGTAACTCCACTTTGCAGGGAGGTAATATGGAGCCATCAAAATTTGTCGACTGTAGTTGAAGCTGTTGTTGGGTGTCGCTGAATTTATAGGCTTTCATGAACGTAGCTAACCGTCTTCACACCTTACTTCATTCACGCCGTTCATTGTTTTAAAACCATACAGTTCACAAATAAATTTCTCCAGATTATCAAAAATTTCACTTTTATCGATATCTGGATACTTATGCATGGTAGCAAATATAGCCTGTCCAACGAGAAGATCCTTGACAGTGATAGATGTGTCTGTCATTTTAATTTCAAAGTAGTTTATTTTATTTTACAAAGAAATAAGTTGGTACAACTGGAACGCATAGCAGGAAATTATTATATTTAAAATTTGACCGACAAGTGATTACTTCAAAATATTGTGAAAAAAAACTGTATAAAACTGAAAAAATGTAATCGAGTTGTTTAATTTAATAAAAAACTGTATGTGTTAATACAAAACAAACAAGAACAAGACACCACATACCAAACAAATATAAAAAAGAACTATTTCTTACTTTCAAGCTTTATGAAACTTGCCGCATTTATGATTATATTTATCAATATAACTTATATACAAATACAAATTTGTAATATTCCGCAGGACACAACCAAAAACACTTACCAAATTTTATGGGTACCTTAAAGGTTGATTAATTAACTTTAATCTTAATTTTTTAAACCAGTACCGTTGGCATTATTTTTCTTGTGCAGTACTAAAATCCATTATTTACGTATCGTGTGATGTCGATATTTTACAGCTACTCCAGTTTTTAGTATGGTCCTTCTGCCATATTCGAGATAGTGATGGGTTGTTATTTAACTATCTGTTATTTTATAACAATTATTTATAAATAACATAACGCAACCGTTACTACTTCTAAAAAATAACAGATATAAAATAACGACACGTAGAGATCGGCCGCTCGTAAAACGAAAAACGACGTCGGCGCTCTGCACCGTCACGAAATTCTATGCTGCTCGAAGCAATTCAAAAAAACAACTAGTATGGATGGAAAACATGTTATTTCGTCAACCATCGATACAGGCGGCGAGACAACGGACAACGGAGTGGGGAAAGCGCTACGGCGAACGTAGCTGCTTCGGTCGAAACCGTCGATGGTAGTATTGGGTTTGCAACAGCTTAAAAATAATAGGATATAAAAGAAGCAGGTTTTTTGAAACAGTTGCGGGCATAACGCCTGGCGGTCGAGATAACAGGAGTGGGAAAGAAACGCTGCTGCATCGGTCGATTGTCGATGGAGGCTCGCAACGGGTTGGAGAAGCAGTCATTTTAGATATGTTGTTTTTCAACCTGTTACGAGCATAACAGGGCGGAGGTCGAGATATTATGGCGCTGTATGTTTCAGTACTTACTTATTAAGTTTCGATATATAGGTATTTATTTATTCTGAAGAATTTTCAGAATATTTTAAGATTTTTTAAAAATGTATACAGGGTGTTTTGAAAAATCTGGTCATTGATTAATCACGATCCTGCTTAAAGCCCTTGACGTAAAAAGCTGATTTTTGGAAAACGGATTGACTTTAGTGTGTAGAGGTTCGATAAGAATGGATTTTTCGAAACTCGAATTCTAAGGGGGTGAAACTACTCTCAAATATTAGAATATTTTTATTTAAAAACCGGTGAGTTTTTCGGAAAAACTCTTAAAACACGTATATTTTATTATGTTGTTTTACATATTTTAAGATTTTTTAAAAATATATACAGGGTGTTTCATAAAATATGACCATTGAGTAATCACTATTCTGCTTAAACTGCTTGACGTTTAAAGCTGATTTTTGGCAAACGGATTGACTGTGGGGTTTAGGTTCGATAAGGAGGGGTACTCAATCGAATCTCAAATTCCAACAGGGTGAAAACGCCCCTCAAATATTACAATATTTGTTATTTAAAAAACGGTTAGTCTTTCGGGAAAACGTCTGGACACGCATAATTTATTTTGTTTTTTTTACATATTTTGAAATTTTTTAATAAATCATACAGGGTGTTCCAAAAAGTTGAGTAATTGATTAACCACGATTCTGCTTAAACTGCCGACGTTAGAAAGCTTATTTTTGGCAAATGTGAGAAAATTTTATCCAGTTTGTATGTTAATGGAAATTCTTGTTTTGCTTTATCATCACCATTATAAATTATTAATTCGACGCGAACGAAGTCGCGGGTACACGCTAGTTTAAGTGTAAAATTAATTCGAACTCTAGTGTGGAGTTGGTTTACTTATGAAGAATATACTACACATTTTCTTATATTGCTATTTTTTGACCGCAAATAGTAAAATCATAACTAAGAGCTTCTCGCCCGTCGAGTGAGATGCACCCTGTACACTGCTACGCAATTCAGGATCTACCCGGATCGAGGGGCAGGGCGTAGGTAGATCGGAATGTATAGGTATAGACGAGTGGCGGAATTTTGGCTTTTTTATATCGCAATTTGTAAACAGCGCTTATTTGTAAACAACCACCGTTTTTAGAGAGGTATTTTAGATAACAATCGATATTTAGAAATGTTTTGACACCCTTGAAATACTACCACCGAGCACGTCATTGTTGCAACTTGCAACTGCGTTAATACGCCTGGCGGTGGCCGCCTCATACTCTTTCAGATATTTAGCAGTAAAATAAAGAAACCTGTTATTTTTAATCTGTTATTTTAAGCTGTTTTTTATAAATAACTATAACAGTTTCAACTGTTATCTAAAAATAACAGTTTTGCCCATCACTAATTCGAGATGCACTTATCTACGACGAGATGGTATACGAACTTTAATGATGGTAACTTTATTAGTGTATAAGACTTTTTGCCTGGGCAGCGAGTATTAACCATAAACTGTGCTCTGGATCTACAGTTAATTTTCACTCGATTTTGCCTCTACTTGACTCCAAAAGACACAAAACACACGTAATAACACGAATCAAAATGAATCATCTTCCAAAACGCAGGGTATTTGACAAAACTGACAAAAGTTGACACAAAATTATAACCTCTAATTTGGCAAGACTTTGACAAGCGTCAAAAATCTAAAGGCGAGTTCATACGCATCAGCGTTTGTTTGTCGTTCATCATTCCGTCAAACCAATAAAATTGAAATACGATCTGTCATTTTTGAAATAAACCAATAAAACTGGTTAAAAACAACAAGAGACGACGTATGACGGATTTATATTTAAACCCATCCATAGTTAACTTAAAAATTATTAGAAACTTTTTTTAGTAAAATAAATAGATTGGTATGGGACGTCATCTGCTTTTCTTCTGTCATCGTCTGTCGAAATCTTACCTGAGAAAAAAAACAGAGTATATATTAATCAACTGTGAAGAGTTTTGAAGAATAGTAAATAGCCGCTTCTTGCCTTTCTTAAAATACGCCGGATTGAATTCGCATCCTGTGAATGCGTGAAATGCTGGAAGTGCGCGACTTAATTCTGGTCCCAATAGTTTATACAGTTTGCTGACATTTATATATCTTTCGTTGTTCCCAACACCTACTTTTAACCAGATTTTTACATTTTCATTGACGCGCGCATACCTGTGTATATAATCACTCAATATATAACGCATTGAGAACCTTTAGATTTAGAATTTGGAAGCCTAGAATATTGAATATATGTATAAAGGTGTTCCCGCTCAACAACTTTGCTCCTGCCGAAGCCAGGTCCCATCAAATGACTGGCAGGATATGTTTTTTAGTTATCGTAATTATTCATGAAATGCTAAAAAAAATCAACTTTTATAATTTATATCAATGGATAAATTTTTTTCACATAAATAAAATTATGGCAGGAGTGTATAGGTCTACCTAAAAAGTGGCAGGATGTCGTTTTATGTTGTATTTAAATGCTATTAAAAAATTGATAGTTTCTACTTTTATTATTTTTAACAATGAAACTTTTTTTTAACATAATTAACATATCGCGGTCAATCAGTGTCCCGCTGGTACCCCTGCAGGAATCGATTTTAGGTTTCGATAGCTTTGAAATGATACAAAAAAAGTAAAACTAATCGTTATGAAATCTTACATAGTTTAGTGTCGCCACCTCCCGTACTAGAAGGTAATGTGGCTAGCACTACGCTTCAACCGCCTATTATTATTACCTCAGGATTGCGAATCCCAAGTATTCTCATTTAAGGCTGAGTCGACCTAGGTACCAAAACTATTTTTTTATTTTAATAAAAATAGTCGGCTGATGAAATGCCGGGTGTGGGATTCCAACCCACTACCTTGAGATTGGTAGACGAGAGCCTGTACCTCTACGCCACCGGGCACCTACTACTGTCAAAAATTTCCAATTATTGTATGTTGTCAAATATTAAAGGCTTAATCTAAATAGCTTAAAATTAAATCTAGAAATCTTCATTAATCACAATTTATGGACAGAATTAGACAATTTATTATATTCTATCACAAAATATCTTTGTGTTGATTTATAAGTTTTTTTTTTATATTTCTGTCATAAATTGTCATTCTGATCCTGCTGAAATTTGGTTTATAATTTTCAGTTTTTTAAGGCTATAAAACAAATGACATGTTACCAATATCCGTCATTTTAACGTCATAGTAATAGAAGTACCATAGCTAACCCTATTATAGTACCATTCAAACTAGAAAATTTAAAAATGAGTGCCAAACATTTTTTTATACGGCATCAACCCATTTGATATGTATTTAGGAACATTAACTTTTCTTCTAAATTAAATATTAATTTTGACTAATTTTTCCCGACAGAAATTATTATCAATTGTTATTTGAATATGCACTATGACGTCGATTTTTTTTTATCAAACGATACTTGTTAAAATTTAAAAATACATTTCTTTCTAAAGGAGGCAACTGAGCTCGACTGCTCATTCTATGAAACGTCACTGGATTATATCAAATTGGAAGATGAAAATTTCGAGACATGCGAATCCAAGGCCGAATATGCTTCCCAGGTATTGGAGAATCTGGAAAAATTAGTGGATCTAGATGACCTCATCAAAGACGGTAAGCATACCATAGTTCATAATTCAATACAATTTGCAATGCAATTTATATGGCAAGATTTTTTTTTCATAAATAAAACCATCGCTTTCTGGTTTATTTCGCGCATATTGTTTACACCCTATATAATTATTGTATCATTTAATGTCTCTACTCTAAAGAATAAAAATATAAATAAAATATATGAAATAGGGTTTCTAAACCGGGGATCCCGAAAAATCTCGGAAATATAAAATGCCTAATCCAAAATGATTCAACTTATTGTCTTTCAAAGCCATTGTTTTTCAAAGATCATATTTTATTTGTACCAAGCAGAACGTCAATATCTAGTTATATTTACGTGTTTGCTATATTTTATCTTTTTTGCAACAAGAATTATTGTATTTTTTTATTTATTAAATATGAATGTTATATGAGCTGCGTAGAAAACATCTTTATAAGTTAATGAAACGCTATATTTGTAATAATCAAACATAAATATTTTTTTAGTAATTTAGAAATGTTATGTTTACATCTGATTTCAAAAAAACTATTTAAAGTATTTTTTTATTGCGATTAATATTAGTTATTCTGAGGTGATTCGAATATTTTACTTGTATATCAGTAAAACGTGCGTCTTTATAGCTACTTCTCTCCATTACTGTATGATGGTGCACAATTTTCATGTTATATTTAATATTAACACAATGTGTATTTTCATACTGATGAAATATATTTGACATGACTTGACAATAAGTGAACTAGAATATACGATCAAAAAACGAATTAAATAAGTCAATATTGATACGTTCAAAATAATTATTGGCGTAGGTATACAGGGTGTCCCAGGCTGAGCGTGCATTAGAAGTTATTATACTAGAGAACTACAATATCTAGATTGGAGATTTTTCGCACATCATTGTTTCACAACGGGATCTATCGATTAAAAATATTTTCAATATGAAATGTAGGAATATTTTCAATATGAAATAGGAAATACCGGAAGTTGACAGCAACTTCCTTATTTTAAATGGAATTCCCCATTTTTTATTACATACTTAAATTCTCTGTAAAATTCTATGAATATTGATGTTAAACACTCTATACCTAACATTAACCGTTTTTGAGAAAAAACATATTTGCAATTTTTGGACGAAAAAACTACCTGTCAAAAAAAATTTGTATAGCCTAAAAGTCAAATTTAATGATTACCACAGCCACTGTGACATAAAGAGAAGACATATGGCTATTTATTTCAAAAATTAAATTGTTCAAATGTCATATAATAATGGCGGTAGCTGTCATGGAATTGAGCGATTAAAAAATTATCATAAATATTTTTTTTTTAAACGGAAACCCACTTTTTTTATTTCACTAATGAAAATGTTTTTCAATTCGTTACTAATACCTAAAATAAATCGTTTTTAAGTTATTTAAGATTTCATTTGAAAACGTATATTTTTCTTGATTTTATCTAGCTTCCTGTAACATTAAGTGTCAAACGGTCAGACAATTTATTTCCATCTGTCAGAAAACGAATTATTTGAATTTCCTATATTATAAATACTGTCTGCCCTTAATGGTTTAAAAAGTGTATTTATAAAAATATATCTCGTATTTTTGCTCTTTAGTGATATCTAATAGTTGATATTATTAATAATATTCCGTTGATCGAAAAAAAAAGCGCAAAATGTTTAACATCAAAACCCTTAAAATTTTACAGAGAATTTAACTATGTAATAAAAAATGGGGGTACCCATTTAAAATAAGAAAGTTGTTGACAATTTTCGGTATTTCCGGAAGTGCCGCCATATAGAAAATATTTATCCATAGATCTCGTTCTGAAACAGTAATGTGCAAAAAATCTCCGATCTAGATATTTTAGTTCTCTAGAAACTTCTAATGCACGCTCAGCCTGGGACACCCTGTATACCTGAATCGCTGGGAACTAAAATTGTATAATTTTCCATCATGAACACGGCCTATGACCAGTCTGCTGCAATATTAAATATAAATATAATACTCTGTCCTTCGTTTTTCTTTTTTTTAACAGGATAAAACCAAATCGATTTGTTTTTCTAATCGATTTGTTTTTCTAATCGATTTGTCTTGTTCTAGGGGATTTTTAAGGCTTAATCAATAATTTCTCACATCAGAAAAAATATTTTCACATTAATAACCTCCACGGGGGTATATTTACTGTCTCTGATTAATCAAATATATTTTGTTTGGCCTACATTACTTTTCAATAAATGGAACAACATATTTTTGGTGTATTTTTCAAATTTCGTGTATTATTAGCGCATCAATATTGTTTAAAGTAAACTATTTGTTTTTGTTATTAAACCTCAGATAGTTTTTGATATTTACTGATGTTTATAAACTTGTGGGAACGTTTGATTTTTATTTCGAGATCTTTGAATAAAACGATTAAAGCTTCATTCAGAACCTCGCAATTAGTGGTTTCAATTAGCGTAGAAGTTTGTTCCTTTAATTTTAATGTAAGCATTCAGAACGTCAAAATTAGCGCTAGAATTTTCAATTAGTAGGAAAAGTTATCAAACTTTTAACTTTTCCACTAATTATACTTCAAAATTTGCGAGAAATTTTCCGTCAAGATAAATTGTGGCTAGAAATCAAAAGTTGATTGTTTTATAAGCTAAATATGAGGCTTTCTCTATGGATACAACTGACTAACGCAAACTGTTGCTAGGATACTCTATTAATTTTAATTGTGTTTTTTAAACATTGCGAATGATCATAAACTAAAAAGTATAAAGTGTAACTGAAACCACTAATTTATTCCACTAATTGCGAGGTTCCGAATGACGCTTAAGGAGTATATCAAAATATTTAAGTGGAGAATTATAGGGGATTAATATGGAAGAGTAATAACTTTTCTCTTAAATAAGGTCTCTTATTAAAAATCGCTACGAGCAACCTTTCTCAAGGTATTTAGATCGGAAGTTATGAATATATGTCATCACTGACAAAAAATAAACATGTTGCCTACATAGTTCGGTGGTTTTGTTAATTTATTGTAATACGAAAAACGTGTTTTCGCCAAAATTTCGAATTCTATAAAAATCATATTAGAGAGATATGGCGAAGTCCAATACTGTCGCGATTCCGCTATTAGCGCTGACGTTATTTTGACATTTGCGTTTGTCGAACTTCGAGTTATGGCAACACAAAATAGCGTTGATTGATTTTGACGATTATGCCAACATTTTTAAAAATTTCGCCTTAACCTAGTTTTCTGATTTTGTCAATCAAAAGAGCATTTATATTCATCATTTTTCTTTATTTTTATAAAAAATAGCTATTAAATATATCAGGAGTTTTAATTAGTGTCTAAAAGAAAAAAAGAGTACAAATTAACCCGATAAAGAGTTCCGAGAGATCTCAATTTTTATAAAAAATACAGTATCTCAACTGATAAAATAACGTTCAGAAACTGTCAAATTAGCGCACGGTGTCTTCTGTAAAATTCTTAGGGCTTGTTGTAGGCAATTCTCTGAAATGGGACATGCATATATGGACGCTTTGTCGAAAAAATTAAGCTCTGCCTGTTTTGCATTAAGATCTGTTTCTAAGGAGCTTAACTTGTCAGTGGTTAGAACTGTTTATTATGCACTTTTTGAGTCGTACCTCAGATATGCCCTTCCATTCTGGGGTACGTGTTGTGCGATTCAATTTGGCCGCTTTTTTAAGCTCCCGAAGAGAGCTGTTCGATATTTCACTGGAACTAAACAGCAGAACTCATTGCCAGAACTGTTTTAAAAAATTAAAAATATTAACTCTTCCTTTCTTATTTATATTTGAATCCGTTTGCCTAATACGTAAGCATGTATCAGCTTCTCAAGAAAGGCCATCTCACACTTATCCACTTAGGAACATGGAGCAAGATCTTTGTCTACCTACCCCACGCTCAGAGTTTGTTAAAAGTTCAATATTATACAACTCAAAAAAAAATGCACAATCACCTGCCATTTGAAATCAAATCCATAGCATCATTTTCTTCATTTCGCAAAGCATTGAAATCTTATTTACTAGACAAGGCTTTCTACGCCGTAAATGACTTATATTTTGATAATTGAATTTGATCTTGTAAAAGACTGGTCTGATATTTGCTATTACTATATTTACTATAAACTTACTAAATATTTTTGAATCTTATTTTTATTTTTTTATTCTTTGACATTGTAAACATTTATAAATGTTTATTTTAAACAATAAGACTGACAGTGTAATTTGTATACTTGTTTTGTATTCGCTTTTGTTTGTTTACTTTGCCTTTGTCTACAAATTCTAAAATTTTTTGACAATCAAGACATTTATTTATTTATTTATTCTCCACCTAAATACCGGCATGCGGTAACGTTAATAGCGCACAAACGCTTATTATGACACTTTAACTATCATAGTTGCCAAAATAACGCCTCCGTTAATACTGCATTTAATGCAACTCCGTTAATGCATATCGTTGCCATATCTCTCTATATTATGGTTCCATTTGCAATAAAAAAAAGATTCATTAGCACCTTGAGTTATTTGACTGAACTGAAAAATATAGGAATATTTTTTTTTAAATTGTGATAAAACAGTTTCTGTTGAACCTTTGGCACAAAAATCCAGATTTATTATATCAGTCTAATAACTATTAGATTATATAATTACTATTATTATTTTTTAACCATTGTGAATGATCATAAACTAAAAAAAGTATAAAGTGTTATTGAAATCACTAATTTATTCCACTAATTGCGAGGTTCCGAATGAAGCTTTAAATTTATACGAACTTTTTCACAATTGGGATCGCCTTGTATATGTATCTGTATGTATCATAAATTCGTGTATGTTTGGTTGCCTGCCTATCACAACAATACAGCGTTATGTAAATTAAAACGGGTTTGTTATAATTCCCGTCGATTATTATTGAATAAATTGTTTAGTTTTTAAGCGGATCGGAATGGTTAGCTGGAGACCGTATATCCGAGGTTTTCCGTAAGATAGTTGTCTCG